CACTGGATAGAAATTATCGAAAAGTAACAAATTTATTATTCGTTTCGCCCATGTATTCGGTTATACTTAAATATACTTAAGACCGAGAGAATATTGCAATTTTGGAAGAAAAAGTTCTCGACGTGCGTGGCACTTGCGCTGGCAACTGATTGCGGACCATAACGAGCGACCAAAACCGTACACGATAATTCGTCGCTTTCTTTGTGAACTCCTCGACATGATACCACTGGACAGATGAATTTAACATTTTGTTCAAACTGAACTACATTTAAACTGTTTTAAATTTGACGCGTACATACCTTTAAACTGAATAAAGCAATAATTATCAAATGATTGTAATTAATCTAAATTTCTCGAAAGTTTTCTGGAAATTGTACAAAAAAAGTAGTTGTTAACCGATAATTATGAACAATTGAATAAAAAGCCTTGAATAAGGATCCTGTTATATTCTCATCGATATTGAATTAACAATACAATCGTATTAATACGTATAAATTGGATACGCATTTGTTATTTGATATAAACTTTGATCGATTATGTATCCGAAATATCAGATGTTGCTTCATTTTGTTTCATGTTTCGCGCGATAACGTAGAGTGGATGGGAAGTTACGAGGTTCAAAGTGTGGGTCAGTCACCAGGTCACTGTGTGTAGCTATTAAAATGTGATATTCCGAGTGACTAATAAAAATTTAGATATCACAGTTAGTTTAAAAATAAATCACTTGTCTTTTTTCGTTTCTTTTTTGCTTTAAGCTCGATAAAATTTGTACTGCCGGCGAACCCGTGTTAATTGAACCGCGCTCGGACGAATGCATCGATCAAACATCCCGGGACGCGAAAAACAGCGATCCCGAGCCAACGTTTCACGCTGGCAATTTCACGCGACATTACCGAATCTCGATTATTTGCAACCCAGGGCGAAGAGGGGGGAGATGTCGCTCTGAGAGTTTCGATAACTGTTACAGACAAAATCACACGGGATAGATTCGACGGAAATGCAAATGGTACTCTTTCCGAGTACGTAACAAATAGGACAAATTTAACGAAGTTTCAATGAGAGCTGAACTTTCAGTGGTAGCGGAGAATTGAGTTGAGTTATGCATTAGGTTTCACAACGTTGCGAGTTGTTTGTACAGTTGTTGATAAATTCTCTTGCACAACTGATTACGAGGCGGGTGAAATTTTATATGGCTAAATTGAGACTTAGCATGTTAAGGATTGAGTATGCATTTATGTGGTGTAGCATGGTATGGTATGGTATGGTATTATCCTCGTAAGCGTTCAGGGTCGAAACTGAAAGCGAAACTTTGCAAAAGACGTAGACAATTGTGGTTTAACACAATTAAATTGTTGAGCTTGTTCTTCTCTCTTTTTGTTTCAAGCTTGTTTTCTTTAGAAATTGTTGTAGAAAATCCACTTTTCATCGCTCCAAACGTTATCAAACAAAGCAAAGATGTTTGTTTCAGCAAGTAAAGATACGCACATTGTCACATTCTCTATACTTTGCTGTTTTTTTCTTTTTTTTTTATATATATATGAGGGTTTAGAGTCGCATCGACTACGAGGTCTTTAGCAACGTGTTGGAACTTTCTCTTTATATCTAATCTAGTAGTTGGGTCTCCTTTAGGTAGTTGATAACAGTTTTTTGTTGTTTGTGGCAGGTTATGGCGGTGTTTTGGTTTAATCCGTATTTACTTCTTATGTTTCGGTATTTTCTGCATTCATGTAGCAGGTGTTGCAGAAAGGTGGTTCTGTTTTGCTTAGGAGGCACTCGTGCGTAATCTTGGAGTGTCCGATTCGAAATCTAGTCATAGCTATCCTTTCTTTTCTGCTTATATCGTTGTTTGCTATTTTTTGATAGAAATGGTGTGTATTTTGTAGAAATGGTAGAAATGTCGTGTATTTTGGTTCTATTTGTCGTAGTCCAATTCTGTTCCATTCTTCTCTTTCCGCTTTGGTCGTTGAAGCTAGTAGGTCTTGGTGTGGGATTGGGATGTTGTGTCTTTTGTTCGGTCTGTTGTTGCCTCTTTGGCTAAGGAATCGGCTTTTTCGTTTCCTTCTATTCCTTGGTGTGACAGGATCCATGTGATTATTATTTGTTTATGGTCGTTGGTAAGTTCGGTGTATGTTTACTGAACCATTTGTTTGACTTCGTGCCTTTTGGTGGTATTGGTGTTTGTTGTCGCGTTTATTGAAGTCAAGGAGACTGTGACTTTGTTAATTTTGTTGGTGTGTCAATTTCGTTATTTCTCTTTAAACGTCTGTGCGTTTAAATATTGGCGAAACAACACTTAGAAGACGAGGTCAAAAAGAAAGCGACGAATTATCGTATACGTATTCGGTCACTCGTTATGGTCCGCAATCAGTTGCCAGCTCAACCGGTACGATAGTATGGAACGTAGAAGCGAAACAAATGGGGCTAAAATAAAATCAATAAATAATTTTAAAAAAATACAATCGTCCACGTATTTAATTATAAAATGGACGACCAAGGACAATTTGTCAATTATTTGACATACACTGTCACGTATCGTGAAAACAAGCGAAATGGAATTTTCGAAGTGCAATTTAATCTAACCGCCAGGGACTTGACACACAACCACGTCAATTCGTTCGACGTCGAAACGTCCGTTTCATTTTTCACGCTAAGCGAAAGATGAACGCTTAATTCTATTTCAACCACAAGTTGAAAGAGGATCGAACAATAAGAAGGTATAAATCCATTTATTTCGAAAAAGATTCGGCTCGTGCTCTGTGTATCCACGAATGCCTACGGATTCGCAAAAAAAGAAAAAAGAAAAGAAGAAAAGAAAAAAAAAGGGAAAGAATACAAAAGACCGAGGGACAACATGAATAATGGATCGGAATGAGAGCGACGTTTTTGGCCGCAGAAACGAAATTAAACGTCCGTGCGGATGCACGATACCGAGACACGTGATATCTTCGGTCTGGTGAATTTCATTGCCGTTTCCTGTACGATATTCAAATGAGAATGCAGAGAGCCACATTATAAAAGTATAAATTTGTCGTAAAAGTACATTTCGTCAAGATCGTCGTTGGACATCGTCATGGGACGAGCCATCGAGAAGAAATGTGAAAATCAAGTCACGTTTTCTTTCGAACTCGAGGAGTTCCCGAGGAGCACTAATTCATTCCATCAATCTGTTACGTCACGGGTGTCCAACTTAAATAAGTGTTAATAACCCTGCCATGACAGCAGAGTTCGTATCAACCACCATGCATTATACATCACACTTTAAATGTTTCAATTATCAACCAAATATCTTTGTTATGATATACAATTGATATTTCATAGTTATATATGAGAGAATATGCAATAAATATGTTACTAATATGGATAAAGATACATTCGATGAATGACGTTAAATTTATTGTTCTGTGTTCTCATTTATAATTTAAAAGGTTTTGGCTTC